GTTTTGTTATCTCCATTGACTTTTTGTATGGGGGCAAAAAAAACGTGTCTATGGAGACAAAAAAAATGTAAATTCTAAACCATCAACAGAATTGCACACATTTTTCCAGGTCACGCAACATGCTCAGACCATCCAAGCATTACATTCAGATTCTGTGATTTATGACTGACGCACATTAAATAAATTGCTCCCAAAATTACTATTAGGGATGTTCAGAAACATTTGCACGTGGTTTTCATTTGACTTTCTAGTCAGTATTTAGTATAAATAGTGAAAAAAATTTGACAGTGTTACAAAATTGTTGACAATAATATGTGGCAACTTAAGTGACAGGAACATCAAGATGCATGAAGATAGCTTTTAACCTTCCAAGTTTCCCTGTAGTTTTCTTGCTAATCTCCTGAGACAACACTCTTCATTTTCTCTGGTCCATGTTTAGCGTGGTCCACACCATGTCACAATTTCTCACCCTTTAATTAGGCAAAATGACCGATTACAAGATTGAAAGTACCTGTGATGCTAGTTAGAGGAAACACCATTGGTTGAACATGGTCAGGGTCATATTTTTTGTCTTTTCTGGGGGATAACATGATATTTATCTCTTGGCCTGTTCATTTTTTTTCCATAATTCAAAACCACAATTCCCATCCAATGTCCCGTTTTCATTGATTGATTTTCATTATTTTTGTATTTGTCAGATTGAAGTACTTCTGTGACTACTGTGGGTTTTTTTTTTTTCCAGTAACAGAGGGGTACCAACAATTTTGTCCACATGCGGTTGGATATTTTAGGAAAGTGCACACAGTTCAGCCTTGCAGTTAGTAACTTACAGCTCATCTGGTTTAAATCACTTACTGTATACAGTGTTTACAAGAGCATACTGACATGCCAGTTTATTTTCTGGAGTGTTCTAACTTGTTAATTGTGTGTGTGTGCGTGTGTGTGTGTGTGTGTGTGTGTGTGTGCGTGTGTGTGTGTGTGTGTGTGTGTGTGTGCGTGTGTGTGTGTGTGTGTGTGTGTGTGTGCGTGTGTGTGTGTGTGTGTGTGTGTGTGTGCGCAGGAGGATCAGTTTGGAATGTATGCCCTGTACAGCAAGAATAAGCCTCAGTCCGACTCCCTGCTCAGCAGCCATGGGAACGAATTCTTTAAGGTGCGTCTGGAAACTCTGGTAACATTCTTCGCTGGTTGCAAAGGTCAGCACCGATCCACAATGGTGCAACAAAAAAGGAAGTGAAAAATAAGTCAAACGAATCATGTATTGTTCAGCTTGTTGCTCATTATGCAAAATCGCCAAAAATGTTTCGAAAAGTGACATTTTTAGTGTTGGTGATACAGATTCATGAAACACGTGAAAAAGGCCATTTCCTCCATAATTTCTGGAAAAAAAATGTTGACCTTGTTTCTTATATAGACATCCAAATTTTAAAAGATGAACCGATGAACTATTTTACTCTGTACAGTAAATCATATCTCGCAAATTCAGTTTACGAATAAAACTACCTGAACTAAATTTCAATACAAAATTCTAATTTATTGCAGAGCACCTTATGACGAGCCGCTCTGTTTTACTAACATATGCCTAATTTCTTATGGCAGGGGTATTGAAACCTTCAATATCTCAATTGGAAAAAATATAGTCACCCAAAACCTGCTTTCATTCCGAGGTTGTACACAATCAATCAACCGACTCGTCTTGATCAGGAGAACATGTCAATGACATACGTCAACGTCAGTGGCAAACACCATCTTAACTTTTCTCTCACATCCCAGAATAAACAACTTGATCTGGGTGACAAAATGGACCTGGCATCCTACCTACTTAAGCCCATCCAGAGGATGAGTAAATATGCGCTGCTGCTCAAGGACCTCATCAAGGAGTGCGGCCAGTCACAAGCGCAAGAGCTGAGTGACCTTCGCACCGCCGAGGAGATGGTCAAGTTTCAGCTTCGCCACGGCAACGACCTGCTGGCGATGGACGCCATTCGGGGCTGTGATGTAAGAGCACAAAGTGTACACTGAATGGTCAAAAGTATTGAGGCATCCCTCTTGGCGGCAGTCAGTCATGGATTGTAACGTGGTGCCTTGACTTCCAAGTTGAACAAATTCTGTGACCACACATAAACACAAAACAGTCCTTTCTGAAAACATCTTTCCCCACTCAAAAGAATGGAATGACTCTGCACCAGTCCCACAAGAGAATACCAACAAGAGTGTTTTCTGATCGGCACATCTTGGCCACCGGAGAACAGAATAATACAGATGTACATATGACATCAAAAATAATTTCCCATCCAAGTGACTCAGTAAACCTGAGTAATGTTTGTCATTCTTTGCAGAGGATAAAGAATACATGCCTGTTTCTGCATCTTTTTTTTTTGTTTAAATATCCGTTGCTTAAAGAGTTGTAACCACCACATCGTTAATGCTAGTTGCATTAGCCCCATCTACAGTGTTTTGTATTGTCTGTTAGCCTGAAGCTAGTGGATTATTTTATTTTATTTTTTTAATAAATTGTGCGTTTTGAATGATACAAAACGTGTAATTGTTTTTATGTTTACACTTAACTGGGAGTGATAAGAAATGGCTTGAGGCAAAAGAATGAAAATGTCCACAGAAAAGCTTGAAAATCTTAAAGGAAGCTTGTGTCCGAATACTCTTATCCAGAGTGTATTTTTGAACTTGATGTCATCTTCTTTTGTATACAGTAGAGTGAAGTCAGCATCCCACCAGAACTTCCATTGTTGTATGTGACGCATTTGACCCGAGGTGTTTCCTGTCTAGGTGAACCTAAAAGAACAGGGTCAGCTTCGCTGCCAAGATGAGTTCATCGTCTGGTGTGGACGCAGGAAGTACCTCCGCCATGTCTTCTTGTTCGAAGACCTCATCCTCTTCAGCAAGACCAAAAAGATAGAAGGAGGATATGACATTTACATCTATAAACAATCCTACAAAGTAAGATTTTTTTTTGATTTCAGTGTCAGCTGGTGTTTCAGTACTTTTTCGGTTGCATAAACAGACCAATTTATTTTTATAATTGTTTAAATAGACAGCAGAGATAGGTATGACTGAAAATGTTGGCGATAGCGGTCTGCGCTTTGAGATTTGGTTCCGGCGAAGGAAGTCCCAGGACACGTTCATACTACAAGCAAGCTCTGTGGAGATCAAGGCAGTGTGGACTTCCATTATCGGGAAGATCTTGTGGAGGCAGGCATTACGAAACAGGGGTGTGTTTCTTTATCTAGATGTACCCATTAATTGCGATGGTTTAACGTTTAGTTTAAAGAATCATTCTGTATTTTGATTTGCAGAGTTGCGCATGAAAGAAATGGTGTCAATGGGCATTGGAAGCAAGCCTTTCATGGACATTAAGCCCAGTGATGCCGCCATCAATGACAGAGCCATCGACTATATCATGAAGGGGTCTGGTGAGACTTACTTATTTTCCCTCCCCATTTCTAGTTTTTATTTGCCCGTTATGCTAACTCTGTATAGTTTTTTTAAATAATCTAATTGTAATTGTAACACACCATCCGGCTCCCCTTTTTAAAAAGAGGGACCACCACCCCGGCATGCCAACCGTAATAAATAAACAAACAAACAAATAACTAAATAAATAAATAGGTCTTATTCATTCCTATGGGTAACATGGATAATATTCAACCCCTTTTGCAACAGTAACACAAAGAAAACAAAACACAGTCTTGGATCTTTTTTTTTTTTAACAAAATGACTCAAATTTGTGGTCTAAAAAAAAAAAAAGTAAAAAAAAGACGGTTCCAGGTTCACGAAGTGAAAAGTCCAAGTAACTGCATACGCACGCATACTTTTAAAATGGATGAAAAATACCTTTGTATGGTTGGATACAGCTTGAAATGAATGTCTCCATAGATAATATTAAAGCTTCTTTTTTTTTCTTTTTAAACCCAACCACATTCAACACACACACATCGGTGTAGATGTGTTGTTCTGGTCTCTCCCAGCATCGTAAACATTTTTTGTCTTCATGTTGTCAACAGAATGTAGGACGAGGGCCTCCATCGCGGTGCCCTCGTACGAATACTCGGCTTCCATCAAGAGACCTCACTCCACCATCTCCAACAGCAGCACGTCATCCTCCAGCAGCCAATCGTCGTCCTCCCTCCTGGGATCGCTCAACCTCCACCTGTACTCTTCGCCCTCGCACCCACACGCTCATCCTTACCCGCTGGCCACCGTTCCCTCCTTCACCCAGTGGCCTTACGACTGCATCGAGGAAGACGAGCTGGAGCACGACTGCGGGAGCCAGCCCTCCATGCGTGAGTTGGGATTTTCCAAGGCGACGTCCTGCAGTAGTTTTCGCAATTTCGTTTCATTTCACTCATCCAGTACTTTTAGGAAACCAAATAGAACAAAGTCAATCAAGTGTAAGAAAATAAACACTTTGGATGATTGACTCTTTTCTCGACACAATGTTACACAACACGTGTTTATGCCAAATGATCACGATGACAAAACCATGACACACCGCCTCAACTTGCCTCGACAGGACAAATGATGACTCACGCTATTTGTCATGACGAAGAAATGCTGTTGTGTGTTGTATGTCAGTCACGGAGAGTTCCGAGACGTCATCCCAATGCACTTCCAATGACAGCGTGACCGGCCTGAGCACCCTCACCTTACCCGGACCCGCCGACGGGCTCCTGGACTCGTACAACAACAACAACAACAACAATGAAGAATCCTCCTCCTTCCTGTGCTCCTCTGTGCCGCCTTCCTCCACGCAGGCCTCCCTCTTCTCCAAAAGTGAAGAACTCCACCCACAGGGCAACAAGTTCATCACAGCAGTGAGTTTTTGCTTTGCATCCTCGTTTTTAAATCAGTGGTTCTCATAACTTTTATTTACGAAGCATCACCTCAAATAATTTTGAGCTCTCTAATTGACACTCTCATGACCGTTAAAATAAAGTAGCGCGGTAAGTGTTCATCAAAAACTAGACAGAGGCTTTCATTCATTTTGCGATTTACTGTTGGAAAACATAATTTGATGATTTATTTAGTTCAAATGAAAAAGGAAACTCATACATAGGTTTTAAGACAATCTTGAAATACTCTACTTTGTGTCTTTTGGAGTGAATCTCTGTATTCTATAATTTTGATGATTATAGAGAGCGGATTAAAAACCCAAATTCTCAATCTCAAGTAGGTAGGATATTTTTAGTTTTAATTTTTAATTGTATTTTTTTAATTAAATGCTCTTGTCGTACAAAAGCGAGTGTTATCGTGAATATTAAAATGAGCCACATAAATGAGCAGCGTTTATCACATACAATAAAACACAATAAATGTCGAGTATACTGGGATCAGCATTTTTCGTACTTGAACCAAAGTCAGCAGCTTTTGGTGAATTTTTCAAAAAGATCTTTTGATTTTTTGAACCACTCGTCAAAGTGGATGAATTTAATTAGGCCACTCCCTTCAATTTACTCTTCGCACCAAGTAGGAAAAGTATCATGACTGTCGCTGCACTGGAGTCATTTTTATGTGCCTGCATATTATCTTTGGCATTGTCATTTCTGTCATTGCCCAAAAAGTTGCAAGTAAAAAAAAAAACAAAACAGTCTAGTGTCAAAAAAAAAATCTTCATTGAGAGGCCTTCAGGACCAGCCGGTAGCTCGTAGCTCAGTTTAAAGACTCCACTTTTTTGCCGTCTTGTTTTTTTTTTGCCAGAGCCAGACTTCTCATATCGCAGTAGGCCTCTCTACTGTGGTGTGACTTAAAGCTGAGCTCAGTAAGTATTCGGCGTCACCGTTGTGGTCGTGTTAACAGCCTGTTCAACAACCGTGACGATGACGACACGTGGCCTTGTTACTAATACAGTGCGTGTGAAAATCATGCATGGTCGTGTGCGTTTGAAAGCTTTGCTCCTATCGGGTGTTTTTACCTGCCTGTCATTTCGCCCTCCAGTATCGTCATTTTGGACTGATTGTGTGTAAACACATGCATGTTCTTGAACGCATTCAGTGATTTTTTTTTTTTTTTTGAAGGTACAGTGGTTATCATGAATCTCCACACCCCTGTTCAAATGCCAGATCCTTATAAGAATCGAGATAAATCTTTTCAAAAGTTGTTCACCGTGAAGGTGACCTATTACTTCCGTTTCATATATCGTCCTGGTGAAGTAAAAATAAACAAGTGGAATACTGTAATGTGGTTGCACAAGTGTGCACACCCGCTTGTAACTGCGATGGTGTGTGTTTTTGGAATTAACCGATCCCTATTCAAACTGGGGGTCAGCACACAACTGCCAGCATTTAAATGGCTTCAGCAGAAGCCTGAAGGTTTTCTGGTATCACATTTTCCCACGTTTGGATTTTGTCACGGTCCGATCATCACCAAAATAAAAAGGCCAGCATTTGAACAGAGGGTGTGTGGACATTTTGTACCCACTGTCATATTTTCTTTGATAAACTATTGGTTGTCTTTGGCTTCAATAAATTTTATGTGAATGTGATGTGTGCACCCCAAAAAAAAACAAAAACAAAAAAAAACCTAAAGGTTTTGCTCTCTAAATCAGTGTCATTTGTTTAGAAAGTCACAGCAGCTTGCATGCAAACTCCAATTAAATACTGTCAGTGCATACCGTTGTTTTTGTCTAAAAACATTTCTTTTTTTTTTTCTTTGCAGCTGTGAAGTCCCGACAAAGAGCAAAATTGCAATGAAGACCTGACACAATGTTCAATTGAAATTTGAGTCTCGCAAAAGAAAAAAAAAAAAAAGAAAAATAGACACTACCACGATGGTACTCATATGTGTTAATATTGTAGATGTTTTTCTATTGTTGCTGTCGCGATTATTATTGTTGTGTAATTTACTAATCGCTGGCAGACCAATGCAGAAAAAAAACATTTTTTGCAGGTGATTACTTTTTTTTGCTGTCCAGCCTTGTGAGACTTGTACAGATGATTAAAAAAGTTTGTATCAAATGATTCGTTGTATTCATTATTTGCCACTTTTAGTTTAGAGATTGCGAAGATAGCCTGTAATATTGTTAGACAGTGACAGATACACAGCGAGCAACCACAACATAGCATTTCACAAAGAGCTGTGTGGGTAGTAGAATGAGGGTGACTGGGGCGGGGGGTGGGGGGGTGGTTTCCTTTCAGGGCACATATTTGCCATGACTTTTTTTTAAACTCCCCTAAAGATTGAGATGAAAAAAACCACACAAAAAAAGACACCTGGCAGTCCTCACAATTCAAACATTCGTTTGCAAATGAGTTTAATTATTCAACGTGCCGCATTTCACTTTGGAGATCCACACGCAGAGAATTACACTGAGCAAAAGCTGAAATCCCAAAATGCAAAGTTCCATCAGCACCATCTACGGAGACATTTGGGGGTTGGGTGGAGATTAATCACAAAACGTTTATTAATGTATTTGTTTTTTCTGAAAATCGCTCTCACCATCAAATAATTTCCTTTATGAGTCCATTCCGTCAGGTCAGTGGTTATCAACCCAACGGCGACGATTGCGAAAACGATACAAGCTTTGTTGATCGCAAGGGACACCTGAAAGAAACCCGGTTGTGATTTCAATGAAATAATGAGCGTGCAGCGTGAACAGACTTACTTACAGTTATTAAAACCGGATATCTTATCAGCACGCTGGAGACAACTCCTGCAAGAATGAACTGAAAAGCAGGAGACTTTCAAAGGATTGTGAAAAAAATTTTTTTAAAAATGATAAGAAAAAAAAACGACTTCTTACAAGCATCCCGGTCACGTGAGCAACTCTGAAGAGCGTGACAAGCGACTCATTGATCCTCAGGCTTACAGCCATGGTAAGACCAATTCCAACACTGGGCAGTCCACTGACAACCTGCAGGGACTGCAATGATTGATCCATATCAATTTACGATAAATAGTGATGTTTCTAAAAATATGTCAAATAGTGTGGTAGGCTGAGAAAATTAAAATATAAAGTGCGCACACTTACTCTAAATAGTAAAGAATAAAACTTGAGTCGAACGTCTCATTCAGTAGTTTTTTTAATAAAATGAAAATATTTATTAAAAACTAAAAGATTTACATGCACTAGTTTTTGTTGCAATAAAAGTATGTCATTCTATAATGCGTGCAACCCTTTTTTTTTTTTTTTTTTGTATCATTTAAGAGGAAGACCACAAGAACCGAAAGGAGTTTCCTGTTGCTGACTCTCAAACAGGCTGGACATCCTTTAACCATACGCCGCAAAACTTCTATCTACAGTACCTGTTTGTGTATTGACTATGTCGAACTTTTTTATTATATAGAACATTCACTCTAATTCTTCCAGGGCCAGTTTTGAAAATATATTTTCATCTCATAAATGGTGTGCTCCGATAAATCACTGTTTTGCTCGTTCACTTGAAATGAACGAACGCTGCACCTCAAATGTTTTTTTTTTTGTCTGTAGGAAAGAAAATTAAACAATCTGCTGTGATTGCCTTTACTATGACTGATATCATGTCATGGAATAAGAAATGAGTACACACGCAGAGCAGACGTGGCAAAGCTGACAATTAGAGCACAGTTGAAAGAGAAGATGTTTTTTTTTTTAATGAAAATGGTTTTAAAACAAAAATGAAAATTGAAACTACATTTTACTTGTATTAAACTAACTCAAACCAAAACTCCAGGGAATTTAGTTTTTGCTTTTGTCAAATTTGTTTTCGTCTTTGTCAATTCATTTCCTGAGCTTTCAGGGTTGCTTTTAAGTGAATTCATTTATTTTGGTATTAGTCTACAACCGTATGGAAGAAGGATGGTCAAACAGTCGTTTGGGGATGATAGTTTCCTTTATTCCACGGCACTAGCTGTAATTGTGACCTTTTTTTTTTTTTTATCTCACACTTGACAAATATTTCATATATTAAAAAAAAACTAATACTAAAACTAATAACTAAGGTAAGCAATTTTGAATCTTTTTTTTTGTTGTTGTTCATGTATAATTCTCACAAACCCGCACTAAGGCTAATTAAAACAAAATGAATTTAAAATGAAATTAAAACCTAAGTATCCTGAAAAATGGTACTGGCCTGGTATTAAAACACAACCATGACAAGTTAACTACTGGAGCTCAGTGTGGGAGGAATAGCTCCAGTCACATTCTGCATGTTGTACGTGCTGGTCGGCCTTACCCCGAACACAGCAGTTTTCATCTGCAGCAGGTCGTGCAAAACCTCGGTCTCATCCTCTCCGACCTTTGTGGCTTGGTATCGTACCAGCCTCGGCAATTTGTCGTCGTCTGTACACAGGCCTTGCTCATCTTCTTGGATCTCCATTTTAACATCTGAACAAGTCATATTGCACTCACCTGCAAGTAAATGATCAAAATACGTTCTTCGATGTGAATTCATCCATATTTTCATTTCTTTTGTGTTATTTCGAATGTTCAAAAGCATGGTGTCAAATTCAAGGCCCGGGGGCCCAATCTGGCCCGCCATACCATTTTATGTGGCCCACGAAAGCAAATCAAAAATGTCAACTTTCATGATGCTTGCAACAATCGCTACCAAAATTTCCAATTCTCATTCGTAATAAATAAGAGTGATATTGTAAGCATTTTCTTGTTACCAAACTCCTCATTACACTAATTTAAAGAATTGGTGAATAAACCGTTCTTCTTTTGACTTCTTTCAACGGTTTCAGTCATAACGGCCCTCCAAAGGAAGCTGGAACTAAAACCTGACCTGCGACAAAAATGAGTTTGACGCCCCTGTTCTAAAGGGTGTCCAAAATATATTTGTTAGGAGCGCCAAGTAAAATCATTGCTCGGTATGAAGACATTTCTCCTGTACATTGAAAGGCACAGTGTCACTGATCATCAATCAGCTCAGTGACTTTTCCAATTGCTAGTAACGCTGACATTTACTCAAGTTGATGACAATATTATAAAGCAAGATTCCCTTCATGTAACGTTCCCCCAAAAAATTGTTTCTATAATTCCATCCAGGACCATGACTTTGTTCGAATGACGTTTCGTTTTGTTTCATCATGTTTTGTCATGTTTCCTGTATTCAACGTTCATGTCTTGTCTGCTTGTTTTCGTCACCAACTGTTCTCGTCAGCCCAGTTCCACGCGTCACCGCATCAGCTACCTCCAACCACTCGTGTCCCATCAAGTTGTGCCTCGTTGTCTCGTCAATTTCTTTGCGTTTAGTTCCCTGCTTTCATTCCGTTTGTGCCATTTTGTTGTTGCTGTCCCAGTCATGTCACGTTTCCTTTCTTTGCTACCGCTACTTTGACTTATGATTTTTCAGGTGCTTTGTCAATTTACAGTACTGTATTGTTTTGATTTTTTTAAATGGACCTTGTTTGCCTCTTTTTAAATTAGACTTACTTTCTCGCTTCGCTTCTACTGCTTCCCTGCATTTGGCTCCATCCTTTGGCACCATCGCCACAAAATCCGTGACAACAACAAAATATGTGACACGTGACCACACGTATGATAGAACTTGATAGGTAGGGTCAGCAACGTTATGGCAACTGAGGGCTACTTTTTGTATACTGATTAATGTGAAAGGCTTCTACATTGAAAGAAATGGCGTGCTGAATTTGTTTTATTTTATTTTATCAAGTGGTTACATGAAATAAAATCATCTGGAGCCAGATACCTTGTTTAAGGAGATATTTGGTCTACTTCAGATGATTCTATTGTGTGCAACCACCCGCCAAAATAAAATGGAGTGAATTCAACGCACCATTTTTTTTCTGTGTAGTTTCTGAAAAGTTCAAATTTAGTTGAACTACATTTGTGATTATTAACGAATTATATTCATCTGCTCACGTGAATTATTCCTTGCAGTTATTTTATATTTTATATATTCCTATAAATCTCTGCAAAGGCTTACACTTTCGAATGATCACGTCCACATGAAACAAAATAGTGTTGCTGTCCTTCCTGAGTCCTGTCTGCTACTGAGGAAAAACTAATT